GTCCTGTCCCTGCTCAGACCCCCTGACTCAACTCCCAGGGGCTCCTCATGGACCCAGCCCCACACTGCCCCCCCCAAGACACCAGCTCTGGGAAGGGGCTTCACCACCCTGCTCCACAGATGCGGGAGGGGGGCAGTGTCCCCCCCCAGGGCAGGTTGCAAGGGGAAGCGCTGTGCCAGCAATTTAGGGGGGCAGCCCTGGAACAGCCCCCCAACCTCCTGGAACCCCCCCGGAGAGTAAAGGGACACATTTGGGGCAAAAGCAGCCCAGGCTCCTGTCACGAGAAATAACACAAAATATTATCCAAGCCCCCAACACAGGACTGGGGCCACCGAGCCAGAAATGGGCAGGAATTAGGGGTTTTTTTTGCCCAGCCAGGGGATTTTCTGCATTTGCATGTGCCCCCCTCCACCCACGAGCAATGTCAACGTGAGCTTTCGAACGCCCTCCCTGCCAGAGGCAGCAGGGCCAGATCCTGGTTCAGCCCTGTTTGGTGCAGAGGAGGCAGCAGGAGGGGAGGGTGCTGCTTTTCCAACACTTCCCCTCACACCACGGGGCAGCACCCAAAAGCCTGGCCGACGGCGAGAAATGACCACCCGCCCTCTTTCCTAGGAGTCCCAGGGGACCCCAAATCAGCCAGGCCGGCTGCTGAAGAGGCCCCTAACCTGCAGCCACCCCCACACACCATCAGACATAGCGGCTGCTTTAATTCCCCGCCCACACCCTCTTATTTACACAAAAAGGTTCAGAGAAGTTGAAGCCAGCTTCTGTGAAAAGCCCTCGCTGGAGAGGAAGAGGAAGCCCCTGGTTTATCGGCACCGAGCCGGGCATTATCGGAGCTCTGCGGCTTCCAGGAAGCGCCAGCAGCCCCGACCCCCTCCGCGCCGGCCAGCACCTTTGCATATTTCCATGGCAAAGGCCCAGCTTTGCATGAGGGCCCCACCACACCCCGGGGGACCGAGCAGGCCCAAAATAGCCCACAAAGACACAGCATTCAAAAAAAAACCACCCCACCAAAAAAACATTTTGCAATATCTGCATAGCAGGGCTGAGCCACCAGCTTGTTTTCAGTAGCGAGGGCCTCGCCAGCACTGCAGGAAGCTGTCACCTCTCCCCTGCCTCGCCCCATCTGCAGTAAGGCTTGACAGCCAACGGGTCTGGAGCCGCCAGCAGAGCTTTTGGGGTAGGGAAGTGCTTTGCCCCTCAGGAGGGGGATTTTCCAGCCAAGGCTCCCACAGCAGAGCTGGCCCTGGCAGGAGGAAGCTGTTCATCAAACCACTGCCCGAGCAAGGTCTGCTCATAACTGGGCTGCGCCCTCCCGCCCCAGGCGGGCCACACGCTTCCTCCATCCCCGACCTGCAGGAATCGAAACTCGGGGGCCACAGGGCAGGGTGAGGTCTGGGGCAACAGAGTCCACCTACAGAGGCCTCCTTGGCAACTGCAACACCAGCTTGCTCTGCCCAGGCAGAGAGGCAAGACTAATGCGAGACAACCAAAGCTACACGGTGTCCCCCCCGCCTTGGAAGGGGCAAGGAGCACAGCTCACCCCGGGGCTCTGGGAAGAGTCCCCTCTCCCCAAGGCTGTGGGCCCCCGCCTCACTGACAGCAGAGGGTGACAAGCCCCAGCCGCCAAGCACAGGCACCCAGAGAGCCACAGCACGCTTCGGGACGCCACAAGAAAAGCTGTTTCGGAGCGTGCAGGCACTGAGCACAAGGCGCCTTGCGGACTGCCCCCACCCACGTACACGGTGAAGGAGAAGAGCGTCTCAGCACGGAGCAGCTCCGGGGAGCCCCGACAGGTGACACAAGACACCCAGAGCAGTTTTCCACAGCCCGCAGAGGCTTTCTAATAACCAAGAGGCTGTGGGGCGCCCCACGGGCAGCATCCGTGCAAACAGGCCCACATCAGCAAAACAGAGCAGGAGCATTTAGCATGTCAGCGTTTCATTACAGGAAGTGGCAAGTTTTACACTAGAAGATTGAGCAAAGACATTTATTGACAAAACTAAGTGCTTGTTCAGCAAACAAGCAGGTCTGACAATAGCACCATCTTTCAGCTCTCCACTTGGGTTTCCATTGGGCATCACTCGGGCTGCAGGTCGAGCACCGTGGACGAGGATGTTCCTCGCTGTGCAGGACCGGGTCCCAGAGAGTAGAGCTCCCCAAGAACCAACCAATCCACGGTCGGAGGGCACAAGGCGGACGAGCACTGCAAGCCCACTGAGAAGCAACACTACCAGCTGGGGACCAGGGACCAAGGCCAGGGCCGGCACCAACGGACTCGCACAAGCTGCAGATCCAAGCCGACGAGTTTTATTCTGCTCCAGGACATTTACATTCAAACATCATTTTCGTTCGACTCATGGCTTAGAGCATCAAAATGAAAGGAAGACAAGGAAGCAACTGATACGACTTCCACAGCTCCCCACCCGCTAGAAGGGCTAGAATAACCAAAAAGATTATAATGAACAGAAACATCAACTGTTGCCAGCAAGCCGTGGGCACAATGAGAGTCCACCAGGCCACTGATCCTTGCTACACTCCCTGGCAATGTTGCTCAAGTGCATCAGAGAAAGGCTCACTTGGAGTCAAGGCAGGAGAAGGCTTCGCCACAAAAATGCTACTTCACATGAGGAATGAAGTACAGTGCACCCATAAGCAGTTCTACCACACTGAAAATTCCTCCATTTTGTATCATTAACTCTGTAAAAATGTACATATTCTACAGATTTATAGATATTTACAGGTTCTCTACAGCCTCCCCAACCCATGTGGGGTTTTACATACTTACAAATGCACTCCTTATTTTTAAACTGCTTGTGTGTGGTGAGTCGCATCAGTGTAGCCGAGATCAGCCAGACAGGCCAATGCAGCCGCACCGCAGCTGGCTGTGGTTACTGCCCTGAGCCCCGCCGCACCCCTCCTGCCCCCCGATGCTCCCCTGCCTGCTCAGTGACCTGGCTGAAGCCCTGCTGGGAGGGAAGAGGCCATGCAGGGCTCCAGCACCCCATGTTCTGGCAGCAGGTGGCACGTCTTGGCTGCTGGCGCAGCTCTACCACTTCTGGAGGGCGGATGCGTGCAGAGCCGGCAGCAGCTGAAGGCCTGCTCACCAGCACACCTGGGGGCAGGCGCAGGCTCGCACAACACCCGGCATTCAATGCTTCTGCTCCAACAGAAAAGCCACAAGTTTAGGCAGGACACCAGCAGCAGAAGATGCTATTTCCAGAAACCCACAACCACAACCCTAAAACATCTGCTCCACACACAGCTGCTGTGCCAAGCCCAGGAGGCTTCAGTCCAGACAAGAGCTGCTGGTGCTCACTGGCTTGCTGCTAAGCAGATCGGTTCCCTCCGGGATAAAACTGAAGCAGTCCACTTGAGCTTTCTGTCATCATCCTCTTGAAGGAAGCAGAATATAAATTCTTCCACTTTCTGTTCCCAAAGCAATCAATCCTCATTGGTACCCACAATCTGACCGGATCACACCTTCCTTCTTAGGAAAGGATTGCTCAAGAAGATGCCTAGATATTCTCCCTGGGTCACTCAAGTCCAGCTTCATAAGTACTCACAGGAGGAAGTGATCAGCTCACCAGCCCCAAACAGAGCCGGTCCACCCAGAGTTTTGTCCCTCTGCAGCATACCCTGGCTCACCGGATCATGTAGGCCAAGCTTGCTCCCAGTCCAGCCACACCTGCAAACGCCATCAGTACATTTCTGATGCTGCCTTCTAGGTCCTCGACTCGAAAGAATTCAACAAAGCCCTCCTAGGAGAAAGAAGGGAAAGTCATTTCCGCGCCAGCCACCCTTCTTTGGCAGGAAGGCATGGAAAGCCTTTTTCCCTGGCAGAGTGGGCTGGGGTACAGCCTGCCCAGCACATCCACCGAGTGCACTCCCCCAGACTCACTACAGCCACAGCCTGCGCCGCAGAAGCGGCAATCAGGAGACAGCACCAAAGCAGCTGTGGATCAGCTTCAAGCAAGCTCAGCACACCCAGGATTGACTCGGCTTTGGGAATGATGCCCCCTCTGCGCTGGGCAGAGGCACATTTTTAGCTCATTGTAAGGAGCTCCTGAAACACCAGAACTCTGGCTAGATGTTTCAGACTGTGGTTTTAACTGGAACAGTGAGTCATCTCTGTGCTTTGCTGACACACGTGGTTGTCAGTGAGCAGGTCACAGAAATAGGAAAATATTGGATTGTTCTGAAAAGCTCGCAGTGTTCGGGACAGGCAGTGACTCACCCAGCCTCCCTGGCTCATTAGCCACTCGCGCTTAGATGAGACGAGCGCGTCCGTGATGATCCCTGCCAGCGAGCTGATGCACTTCTCCTGGTTTATGCTTTTCAGGTGTTTTGCAACAAAGGCACCAAATGAGATGAGCGTCACCACTCGACCCCAGTTTGTTACTCCATCACTGAACACGTGGGCAGCCACTTCACATACTGACTGCAGATCTTCCTCCTTCTGGATTTCCAGCTTCCGAAGCATTCCTGCAAGAGATGCTGGTTTAGAGGCAGGCAAGCACACGACACTGAATACCCTGCAAGGCCACCAGTGAGAAGATGCAGCCCCCACACGCTAGGTCCAAAAGCTGTAAGAGTCACTGCCAAGCATCAGTGATGGAGAGCAAGTACCTGCCTGCTTCTGCAGAGGGTTCTGCTGCTCACACTTGCCTGAGCCAGACAAAAAACAGCCCATAACCTATTTCTAGTTCCTTCCTCCCCACCTTGGGCACAGCTGCCGTCTCTGTGCATGTCACGCTCCCCTATCTCACAAGGGCTTTAAAGCCCCACCACGTCAAAACCACAGCACAGAAGTCAGTTTGCAGCCTGGCACGAGCCCTGCCCCTCAAGCCGAAACAAAGGACGGTCACCTATGGCCAGGCAGATGTGTCGCCATTTTATTAATGTGGTTTTAGTGACTGGAACAACAGAACTCCCCAGTTCGGCCTGCAGTGCCTCCTCATGAATAAGCAAACAAGACAAGCCTTTACGAAACTGAAAGGCTTTACTTGTTGTTGCTCAAACTAACAGGAAGCCTTCCTGAAGCCAGTTCCTTTTCTGCACACACGAAGGTAACCGTCCCTACAGAAGCCTCAGATACCAACGCCAGCTCGTGTTGGTCTGTACATTCCTCCCAAGCATGGCTCGTTCAACGAGCACATCCATGAATTTCACCAGGGTAACCAAACCCACAGGCTTTCACATCAGCACAAGGAAGAAACTGAAGCCCTTTGCACATGGCTCGATCAACGAGCACATCCATGAATTTCACCAGGGTAACCAAACCCACAGGCTTTCACATCAGCACAAGGAAGAAAACTGAAGCCCTTTGCATTAAAAAAAAAAAAAAGCACACCACACAAAAAACTGGAACATCCTCCCGCAAGAAGGAAGGTGTTTCACCACACACTGTCTCGGGAAGAAATGCAGACACCACCCTTCTGTGCCCAGCACCATCCTGATCTGGGATCAGACGCGGTGCGGTGTGCCAAAAGCAGTCCCAGCACGAGCCCCAAGGCCAGGAGCTCAGCCCCACCACCCCAACGGCTCAGGCTAGCCCCAAAACAGCTAATTTCTGAGTTACACAAAACCAGGTCAAAATGGTTGGTTCTCGCTTCCAGTCCATTGCCAGGACACTCTGCAGCAAGGGCACCTGCTCATCCAAGCCCAGGCACTGGGGTTCAAGTTTCTATAGCTATTCTAGCACTCATCAGACATGGGCAAAATACATTAAAATAGCTGTAAGCCAAGCACATTGTCCGGGAGAATTTCTCCCCCAGAAACCCCCTTCCACCCAAGCCAGGGGTGTGAGGAGTTTAAACTCCTGAGCTAACTAATCTTTGGATGCTCGGGATTATTTCCATACAGTCGTGCTGAGCAAAGCAGGATGCAAGAAGGAACTGGGGCTAATCTGTAACTAGATTATCTCGTCTGCACACGTTACCAGCCGTTTTTCCACCTCCCAGTCGAACAAAGTTCAGTTTCATTTTTAATCACTTCTCAGTGCTTTAACTCCCTCGAAACCAGGGCCACATCCCATCCGGTAAATGACGCGGCCGAGCGCCCAGGCGCCCCCCACCCCCGCCAGCCGGGGGGGGGCAGGGGACGGCACAGCGGCCTTGCTCCAGCCCCGAGGGCCAGCTCCCACCTAGGCCTCCCCCAGCCCCTGCTACGCGGCAGCCTGCAGCCCACCCACCTCGAGGGCCCACACACACGGGGCAGAAGGAGCGGGATCTCACAGAATATAGCATGGTTTGGGTCGGGGCGGACCTTTAAAGACCATCTATTTCCACCCCCCTGCCGCGGGCAGGGACGCCTTCCACTA